TGCCTGGCACTGAGATGCAGCCACCTCTAGGGCGGGGCGGCCAGTGACACAGGGACCCCGTGCCTGGCACTGAGATGCAGCCACCTCTAGGGCGGGGCGGCCAGTGACACAGGGACCCCCCCGCCTGGCACTGAGATGCGGCCACCTCTAGGGCGGGGCGGCCGGTGACACAGGGACCCCCCGCCTGGCACTGAGATGCGGCCACCTCTAGGGCGGGGCGGCCGGTGACACAGGGACCCCTCACCCCCAGCACTGAGATGCAGCCACCTCTGGGACAGCTGGTGCCGAGGTGGGACACAGGAACCACACCACACACCAGTTGATATGGTCTTTACTTGTCCCCAGTGCTCTGTGAGAGCCCCCACCCGCCCCACACACGGCTACAGCGCAACAGCCACAAGAAACCAAAATCCCCGACCCACAGCACGAGCATCTGCAGGCCCCCACCAAGAGGGGGCGCTAGGTCCTGACACCCCCCTCCCCCCCCCAGTCAGGGGCCCCTGGAGCGGACAGGGGGGCAGGGACCCACCCCGGCTGAAAACAGCTTTAAAAATCCATGGATGGTTGAGCAGGGCCCCGGCGTTGAAGCAGCAATAATGCCCAGAGAGGAATCCAGTGCTTTTCACTGGGGGGAGGGGGGAGGAGAGGGGGGGGGAAATTGTCCCCACAGCAGCAGGGGGATTCCCCCTTCCAGAGCTCAGCAGGGGAGCCACAGTTAAAATCTCTGGGGGCAGGGGGACCCCCAAGTTAATGACATTTAAAAGCCAGACCCTGGTTCTGGGGGCCCCCCTGTACAACAGTAAGATGGGGGACTTAGTGGGGGCTCCCCTCAGCAAGGGGGGGGGCAGCATTAAAAAGCCCAGACAGATACAGTTAAAATCCACTGCCCCCTACCAGGGGCAAGGCCCCAGCTCTGCTGCAGGGAGGGGGCAGCAGCCCCGCTCCCTCCCGCCGCCCTCAGAAACGTTCGTCGTCCTGGTCGTCCTTGACTCCCCCCTTGAGCCGCAGGCGGGCGAAATCCTCGAAGACTATGTCGTCGTCCTGGCCGTAGCTGGGGGGCAGAGGGGGACGGACAGGGCGTTAAGGAGGAGGGCTCCTCCCTGGCCCCCCCCCCCACCCGC